ATGTGGGAAATAACGCCTAGAGTAGCACAAATAGGGTGACAGTAATCGAGTGAAATAGATGAACCATGGAGATAGGGGACGGATCCTACGGGGAAAGAGGAAGACTCTGATAGGACCTATTGGAAGAGGATTGCGGACTAATATGGCAGACTCAGATCAGCATTCCCAGCACAAGGGGCGAGAGGGGTTAGAAAATCAGTTCTCATGAAATCCGCTCTAAAGGGCAAGCCATACCACATTTAAATAAGCATGTAAGAGATTGTGATAGTGAAGGGGTGATACGAGGATATAGAACAGGTGAATAGCCCATGACGGGAGGAGAGAAACCGCAACAGTCTAGCAAACAATAGGTCAAAGGATCGACTTTACTCGTCTCTTTGACGAGTTGTAATTGAAAACGGTGCTAAGACTGGCAAGGCGCACTGACGGTGCCGTTGAAACATTTGCTAATGAACCAGGTTCATGGTCCGACTCTGGAAATTATCATCTATACTATGTACTTCGGAGAAGGTGCGTTCCTCTAAGTCTTCCTGCCAGTATGACCAAGTTGCGAAAACAAGATCAAACAATTACAGAAATATGGTTCCAATTCGGTCTCCGTCAGAGCCTGGGCGCATACTGACACTGTGGCAAATGATATTTTCATTACAATGGTAAGAATAGAAGTTCCGAATCACCAAGTAAATTGGCTTAGATCCATGAGTAGGCCCCATGATTTACATTGTATACGTAAGCGTTTGATATATATATAAAGTTTTCCACTTTTCCGATCTAGACCCCGATCTAGGATTGTCTGAATAATAAAGGGCTTACTGGTTTTGGCTCTCGGCTGTTGAGCAGGAACACATGACTGGGAATGGTACGTTTGTCTTTCCAAAGACATCGAGAGCAGTAAAAAAGTCCAGAGTAGTAGCAGAGTTTGGCCGGATCCCTTTCGATTTCTATTGAGGAGGTGAGTGCCGATGAGACGAGCTGAGTGACAGCTGATACAGCTGCTGTAGCCAAAGTGACACCGGAAGAAACGACCCCAGGAGTCGTGACGACTGAATCAGACTTAAGAAGCCGAAAAGGAATAATAATTGGATTAAGGAAGAGGCAGGAGCTTATAAAAACCAAGGAAATACACATAGAGCTTGTCAGCGTGAGAAAAGAAAATGGCGGCCCTTTTATCTATGCATAACTATGGCCCAACAACAGACCAAATATGAAATGAAGGGAAAAAAAACAAAAAGCAATGTCAAATAATTTCAAATAGATAAACTTCCCGTCGGCCTGCTCGTTGGTGGATCAGACCAATTATAAATTATTCAGAACGTAGATATGAGAAGTCTACAGAAAAACATTTCATATAGCTTACAATAATATTTTCTATATAATACCAAGGTGCTATTACTCTTTTTATTCCAAGTCTCGGAGTCCAGTTTGGGCAAAGCAGTCATGATACCTTAACAGGACTAGTAATGCCATTTATTCGCCCCAGAGATAAGTCTTCATAAAATGAACTCAAATTCTTTATACTACTAATGGATTGCGTACCTATAGAAAAATTTCATTAACTAGTAATGCCCCTAGTCGGCAAATCCTATAAGAGAATTTAGATTCAAATGAAAAGGAGGTTTCTGCCAAAAGCCTACTTGACTGAAATTAAGTCTAAGTCTGAAGCTTTATTACCCAACAAAAATGCATCAACCGTGAGTTAATAGCTTAGTCATTAGAAAAGAATATTGATGCAAAAATCGGCAACGGTCAAATATAGCATGAAACAAATGTCCATGGGAGTCCGGTGAATTCCTGCCTAAGGGATAAGAAGAAAACCTCCCATTATCCAAATTCATTTCAATATCAATATAGGACATAAACCAAAGCTCGTGATTCCGTTATCAAATAAGGAAAGATGATACTCTACTAAAAACATGAAGCAGTGCGAAATCTGGCAAAAGTTGGATGCTTGAGGTAAATGATAGATTATCAAAGTTCATATAAATTTTATTAAAGGATAAAACACCAAGGACTGGAATGTATTGAACTGATGAAAAGTTTTGATGTATAATCAAAGCATGCAAGGATTTCAAAAACAAAAGCTTCAAACGAGATCATATCCTGGAAAATGAGCTGGGACGATTACCTTGAGATTTAATGGCATGGAAAGTTTGTACCTGACTTAATGAAAAAAATATTATTTACTATAGAAATGAAGGAGGAGCAGCTAGAATTCCTGGATGGTCAGGTCACTCGATCCAATTGGACAACGGAGAGAAAATTATCGGGAAAGAAACCGCAGATATAAATAATAATAATTAGCATAAGTATAAGAGGCCTGACTAAAGGATATAGAGTTCAGAAAAAACAAAATTTATGGTCCTCCTGGTGGTAGGTACCCGATGGAAATAATACAAATGTACGGGTCAAATAGAGCAAATAGCAAGATGGCGATTATAAAAATAAAGAAAGGGATTAGGGAGATGTACAAATCTTGGTATGTTTATCCGCCTCTGAAATGACTCGTAGCCTATAGTTGATAGTATGAAAATGGAATATTAACGTGAAAAGTAAAAGAAATACATTGTTCACAGGCTTACT